GGCTCTGTGTTTACGCCTATACGATCATTTCCTGATAACGTTGAAGCAATAGCCCCGCCTCTTCCCACCTCTCCTGCTCAGAGATCAGCTGCTGGGCTGTCAGAAGAGGGGGAGGAAAAGAGAGGCTCAGTTTTTTATTATTATATAGAGTCGTTATCAATTTGTTTTAAAGCTCAACAAATAACAAAGAAGACCTTTGACCGGCACTTTGTACTGAAACTCTGACGCAAGGTCCCCTCGTCCCTTGGAAGAGGCGGAGAGGTGGGTGTTTTTCATCTGCTGGTGGACTACCGCAGAGATTTACAGCAGGAGCAAACGCTTGCCTCGGGGAAGGAGAAAAAGAGCCAGAGCGTCCACAGCGGAGAATAAACAGAAGGGCAACCATGCGCGGGAAGTCTTCTTTGCTGCTTTTGTATCAGGAGTACAGCGCCACTTACAGGCCTGGCATATGTACTACAGCGTCTCCAGCGCTTTCGAGCGGTCTCGTGTGAACGGACACGTTTCTGGTGCCTGTTGCGTGTGGACGGAAGACTTTTTTGATAACGATTGCGGTCCGTTTGCGTTATCGTCCTCGTGTGGCTGCAGCCTAAATAGACCTAAAGTAGACTTTATAGTGTATTGGTATTGTTTATTATCCATGACCATATCACGGAGACAGGACATCAAACCAATAACAATCTTGGCTGTGGGATACCTGAGGCCTGTACTACGAAGCCGGATTTTCCTAACCTGGATATGTATGAGTTAGCCGGTTGGCCCAATCCAAAACATACGCGCTCTGGCTAAACTGTACTACGACGCTGGTTATCAAGTGGATCGCTCAAGCCAGCCGTGTCCTATCTAGTTAGGTGCGCGTTCACATGAAAGGGGTGGTATTTGGAGCATTCGACCAATCTCAAACATGGACAAGCGTACTGACAGCGCAGCGTACTGACAGCGCAGCGTCATACTTCCTGAATGAAAAGTGAACTTTAATATTAGTCAAATATGAAGAAGTTAAACTTTAAACATCCATGACTTAAACACTTTATCCAGGATAAAAGCCACATAGCTGCACCTGCAAGGTGAATACAGCTGGTAAAAGAAAAAGTGTTTGAATGCGTACATTAACAGGTTTATGAAATCACTGCCCCGTCCAAGACACGAGTGGATCTGACTTTAATTACATTTGACTCGAGTGTTTCGTCAACTTAATGTGTTGCTTAAAATAATACTTCTGCATACAGTATGTGACACTGTGAGTGTTGCACGGCCAGATACGGCTCAAGAAGCTGACTCAAATAAGGAAATATATGATACATTATGATGTGATATGATATGAATGATAATGGGACACATCGACGTCTGCACTCACAGTGCCGCGGACTGTACTTAATGTTACTCTGATCCGGTTACTTATGTCGTGGCAGATATTTAAGTAAGCTTTCTTAACGCTAATGTTATAATAGTCAGATTGCTCTGAAGATGGGAGGGGATATTCTATTAATTTTCACGTTCACACAGTCAGTTGATTTTGGCCGGCCGTCTTTCCTGCAACGGCAGTTTTTCTGTATTTCCTCTATCCTGTAATATGAATTGATCGATTTAAACTCCGCACACGGAGCTCTGATTGGTCAGCAGGCGGTGCTTTCACTGAGTTGATCTCTTAGCCTGCAACCTAACCTGCTCCGGAGCAGGTTTGCCGCTCAGCATAAGTTACCATGGAAATCTAGCCTGCTAAAAAGAGAACCAGCGTCGTAGGACCGGAAAGCCCGAGATTTCCCTGAAGTTAGCCGGCTAAGCGAAAATCCAGCTTCGTAGTACAGGCCTCTGGTTTGCTTATGAGCTGCATTTACTGTAAAAGACAAACACACATCTTTTTTCTTATGGAACAAAAAACAACAAACTGTACTCTGCATTACAACAGTGTCCTTCCAAATAAACATGTGCCACCATTTTTGTGCCCTAAATTTTAGGCCTTATTTACAACAGATGTACCTACAAAGTCTTTAACAGGACTGTTCTTTGTTCCAAAGTAAACAGGAACTTTGTTTGGCTATCAACCTTCTGTTATCATCTATACCACAGTGTTGGTGAAAGGTGCTACACAAATCATTACACACACACCAAAACATCTAGCGTTGTTTCTCAGTAGATATTACTGTACGACTTACATTCTTAATATTGTGTATGTATTTGTACACACTTGTACATGTATTGTACAGGTTCAATGTTAGTGCAAAAACCTACATTGTTTTTAGGGAGGAATTGTGCTGCATATTGCATGCCTTAATCAAAACCATTACCAAATAATATTGCATAAGTATCATACTTAAACTTATAAGTAGAAAACAATCATAAGAAGCGACATAAAGTATATCAATAAAGTATATTACATGTAGTTACTTAAATGTGTGCACCTTGATCTACAGTAGTACGTAAGTCATTATTAATATTTCATATACTAAAGGCGTCTATTTATTGTGATCTGCGGAGTATCTGAAAAACCCGATTAGTTTGGAGTACTCAAAACTTATGTGGAAACTGATTACCACAGAAGTTTTAAGTCAACTAATTTAAGACTATAGCGTAAATGATTGATCAAAAATGATAAGTTACTTAAACTTAAAACTTTATTTTTTTTTATTATTTAAAGTACACTGTACTTAAAAATATTGTTTAACACATTTGACATATTTTATTTCTCCATAATGAATTAGATTGATGCAAAAGTACTTCATTGCATGAATATTGAAATCAATAAATATATTTGTAGAAAACTCATTGGCCAATATTTTCTTATTTATTTATTTAATTACACAATACTCAAAGAACCCACAGACAACTTCAGCTGTACACTTTAGTTTTTTTAACTAAACATTTTTCATCCAATCATCAAAACATGAATTCTAAAACATGCAACTTCTTACTGCAACACTTGTTTTGTTTTTTAAAGACCATCAAACTGCAAGTTACATTTCAAAATAAAATAACTTATTGTTCACAAAAAAGTTAAATTAATAAAAATTAGTTATATTTTCTTTTTGTAAAAATAAACATATTTCAAGGAGTTTTGCACGCCGTTTGAGTATTTATTCCATATCCTTGATATCAGACGGCAGCTGCCTACACTAGTTGGCTCTTTGATTGCACTTGTTAGATATATGGTCACACTAGTTTGGCACTCTACTTTACTAGTTGAATAAAAAATTACACTAGTCACTGTTTTTCAGCAACTAGTGGCACTTTTGTCCGACTATTTACCACATAAGCCTTACTAGTGACGCCAGGAGCAGCACTAGTAGCACCAAAGTCCCAACTTGTCAGAGTTTTTGCAGCGCAGTTAACTTTTAGTGTCACTAGTACAGTCAGAGGGCCACTAGTTCATCAAAAAAGCTTACAAGTTGGGACTTTGGTGCTACTACTGCTGCTCCTGGCGTCACTAGTAAGGCTTATGTAGTAACTAGTTGGACAAAAGTGCCTCTAGTGGCTGAAAAATAGTGACTAGTATCATTTTTATTCAACTAGTAAAGCAGAATGTCAAACTAGTGTGACCATAGATCTAACAAGTGCAATCAAAGAGCCAGTTAGTGTAGGCAATTGCCGTCTGATATCAAGGATATTAAATAAATACTCTAACGGCGTGCCATAGGAGTTAAAGCAAACATGAACAACTGTAGGCACAGGGTTTCAGTGGTTTACCACCATCAAGGGCCATCAGCACTTTCAGTGCAAACATGAACAACTGAGGTAGATTTAAGGGATAGACATAATCTACCAAATATAAACATTAAACTGCTTTAAGCAACAAACTATCAAATAATTAACTGTGCAACACCAACATTGGCATGTGCAAAGTTTCAACACGTAACACGGCCTACTCTCTCAGTAACAGGTCATTTTTTAGATTGAGTAGGCAGGGTTTCAGTGGTTTACCATCATCAAGGCCCATCAGCACTTTCTGTATGAAAGTGAAAGTGTTGATGAGTTTCTTGGGGTAGTCCAAATGTAACACGTACATCAAGCCAAACAACAATGCAAATGAATCCGCCAACCTGGGGATATTGCTGATGACGAAATCACCTTCCACCAGAATAGCAGTACTTGCCGGACTGAGATCAACTTGACTTGGAGTGCCCTCGGTGACCACGCTGACAATAGCAACCGGTGTGTTGGTGATGTCTGGCCGGTCCACCTCCTCTGCCTGGAAATGCATAGAGTCCAACTGTAAGGTTGACTTGAAGTAACTAAACAATCTCATTTATATTACAGACCAGTAGTTCACATATTCCTCAAAAGGTAAGTATATAGGAAGGTATTTCACAAACTTCTTTTTAGGTGAACCTTTCTTTTATATATCTGAAAATATTTGTGATTGCTCCCGTCTGTTTGTTTTTTTTTAACTGGAAGGGTAAAAGCTAAACAGTTTCTTACAAGCACACATTCTGACCTCATAGCAGTACTTTGAGTGCACTAAATACTTACGCTCCAAGACTTGAAGAACTGTGGGTCCTCCTCACGCAGGTATAATGGGAGGGCTCAAAGGGCTGCATTGCGTTTCATGTGGACATCCTGTACTTCCTGGATATGCAAAAACTAGCGTAATTAAAAAGCAATGGCTTTTTAAATTAATATATAAATATTTATTTTTGATTGTTGTCAAATTCAATTAATCATTTTGAAGATTTTTATTTTCCCTATTTGTTATTGTTATATTTGTGATACTCTGAAAAATACAATCCAGTATCTTTTACATTATCTGTTTATTATTTGTGAATTTGAATGAATGTGGTTTTGTGTAAAAGTAAATAAGCATTGATACTATGGTGTGTTCCAATCAAGTAATTTAGCCTCGGCTGTCTTTGGAAAAACTTCATTTGGACCAAACTTCTATTAAACTCACCTGGAGATCACAAATCCTTAGGATTTCACGCAGGGCCTCAGATACCTTGCCAGTGCATGCCGCCTTCTGCCTGTACAAGGCAATCAGTCGCAGGGTGTGTCTGTCTAGTTCAGAAAAGAACTGGTTCCGTAGGTTGACGTTTGTGATTCGGTGAAACTCGGCACAAACCTACAGAAACACACAAATGTATAAAGATCATTAATGGATATGCAACTGTAAAATGATTAGTGATGCAACCTGTTTTGTTGTTTCTCGATGGCTCATGTAAAGCCCTTTTTGTGAGAACTTGGTTTCCTTGATTCTGTCAAGGATGTCTGTGTGTTTGAACATTTTCTGGATCATCTGTACTGGTTTTACCCTATATAGTCTATGGTTTTACCCAGTCTATGGTTTTACCCAGTCTATGGTTTACCACAGGGTAATTCTTCTCAATAAATGTTTTTCTTCGCTTGGCGGAAGACAGCTCCTCACCTTTAGCTGTGGCACTGACAAAAATATTTGAGTCCATAACAGCACTCACCAAATCATTCATGATAGCTTCAGTAGGAGAAATCTGATGCCTCTTAAAAACCTATTTTAAAGTGTCTTTTATAACAGGTTGAGACAAGGAAAATATCTGAGTCAGACGATCAATTATCTCTCTGGATGCCATATCGGAAACATGAAGAATAGTTTGCATCTACAGGAAGAGCGAGGACAAATTATGGTGTAACTGGGCTGACGTCAGCCTCAGGAGAATCAAACGTGTCTGCATGCTGACACTGAGCAGGATTCTCGTCCTCAGGGTCAGTAGCTGTCAAGACTGGGGCACTATCATTTTCTGTTGACACAATGTCTTCACAAATGTCCAAACTAACTGCATGGTTCCTGCTTTTGTGAGCATTAAATGACGAATAGACATGTGTGCTGTAGCTACAGTTCTTAAATGGGCATGTTACAGTTTCAAGGTTCTATAAGTGTCCCCTTAAATGACTGAACACTGTTGCTTCAGAGAAGGACTGTTTAAAGTTACACAAGGGGCAGCTAAAAATTGCACATCCTCCTTGTGCTCCCTCACTTGCACCAGTACTACACACATTTTTGTGAAGCCCTGATAAATGAATTGTCAATGCATTAAAAGATTGAAATGTACAAATGCAAGAGTCATAGACACATGGCAAAGGGCTAACTCTTGAGTACTGGCTAGCTTCAAACGATAGTGCCTAAATAACTGAGCCCGGGTGTCTGACGAGACAGCACACAATTTGCACTTCCACTCCATTGAACCATTTCAACCATGCAACTTCAACAAAGCATGATGATCGGATCTGTAGAAAGGCCAGTTCTGTTCAAGTTACCTTGAATCTTGAGTCTCACTGCTATGCACCAGCTTCACCCTATGACAAAAATAAATGTGCAGTTTTAATACAAGTTTGCAGTTTTCTTTAGCTTACTGTCACTAGCAAACATGCCTGTGTGTAAGCCTCAACGTAATTGTGGAAAACAGCTCTAGCTAGCTACTAGCTTAATTCAGGAATAACATCACATTTACCAGATAATAGCGTATAACATTAAGCACCAGTAACACACTTATAAACAGTAGGGCTACCGTTGACTAATAGGAGTTACTAGCTAATGTTAACATGCTGCTGCTGACGTTAACGTCCTTACACTCCATTGAACCATTTGAACCATGCAACTTCAACAAAGCATGATGATCGGATTACTGTAGAAAGCAGTGACGTGCGGTGAGGTTCATGGCTGGTGAGGCACTGACTCTTTCAGAGTCAGATTTACAAATATTATATTTTGACCTTAATCGAAATATTCTGTTATTTTCAAAAGCTTTTTTAGTCTGATGCTATGATTAATTTTAAACAGACCGTTCAACAAAAGGATACCCAAAATCTAAATATTGGATTGTTCTTTCTTAGTAAGATCCCATTTTCATTACAGTTGTGGTCTTATCTTGACTTGAAGATGAATAGAAGTCCATGCTATCCTTCTGGACAACAATCTCTATTACTTTTTTGTAAAAGTCCTCCTTATCTTCCTCTAGTTTCAAAAGTCTAGTTTTACTTTGTTGTTTGCGTCTACCGTCTCTGCGTAGAATAACAGTAGCAACAAGAACCTGTGGGCTCACGTGCGCCCCCTTCAGTGCGGCAGAGGTTATGGCTGCCTCTCCTGGTGCTTTTTTCATTGCCGTTGTACGATGAGACCAGCGAGCCTAAATATCATATATACGTGAAATAAGTTATTTAGAGACTATGGATGGCGAGGATAAATGTAATAAAGGGATCTATAAACATTACATTGGTGACCTACAGTGAGATGGTAACAGGCATGCGCTTAGTGCCCGCTTTCCAGATAGTTTCTGTGGGGTGACGCATTCTAAAGTGAGGCAGAGCTCATCTGTGCCTCACCTTACCCCACAGTAAATGGCTTGAGCGCGCTCACAAAATAAGTGGCCGCGCTAAATTAGTGCCCGCGCTCCAGCAAGTTACTGTGGGCTTACGAGAGGCAGAGCTCGTCCCTGCCTCACTTCTCATCGCTCCCGTAGCGGAGCTCGGCAAATTGGCTGATTTTGACTATAAAAAGCGATTGGAATCATACATAAATCACACTTACAACACAGATCAGTGGAGACATTTTATTATTATTATTATTTAGTTTTTCTTTAATTGTTTTTCCGTTACATTGGAGTATGACAGGTGAGGCTCTGCCTCCCCTGCCTCCCCTGACTGCACGTCGCTGGTAGAAAGGCCAGTTCTGTTCAATGTTCTGAATACCTAATTAAATAAATAAAGCTACTGGAAAAAAGTTCTAAATTAATTAAATGAAAAAACAGAACACAGTATGGGTTAGCAATAAGTTACCTTGAATATTGAGGAGTCTCACTGCTATGCACCAGCTTCACCCTACAGCAAAAAGAAATGTGCAGAGTTTTAATACAAGTTTGCAGTTTTCATTAGCTTACTGTCACTAGCATCAATGTAATTGTGGAAAACAGCTCTAGCTAGCTACTAGCTTAATTCAGGAGTATTCAGGAATGACATCACATTTACCAGATAATAGCGTTAATAAGCACCAGTAAGTAACACACGTTTAAACAGTATAGGCTGCCGTTGACTGATAAGAGATACTAGCTAAATTTAACATGCTGCTGCTCTAACGTTAACGTCCTTACGGTACTTAACCGGCAGTCCGACATTCAAAAAATAGCGCGAAGCAGCCGGTGTTACCGTTTAACTCAGGGATGGGCAACTTGGATGGTGGTGGGGGCCACATAATGTATGTACTGGCCACCAGGGGGCCGCAGATTCACTTGGAACACACACACACACAAATTGCATGTATTGTATGTAATTGTAGTTGTCTAACTTGAACCTAGCTAAGACACTCCTCAGCGCCGCTCCCCCTCCCTCCTGCTGAAATTATGAATGAAAAGTGTATAGTAATCATAGATAACACGGCAGGGTCCGTGACAGTTTGTTTTCATCTGATTTCAAATAAACAAAGTCTTGGTTTTTAGAATATTAAACTTGTTTCGCCAAATTCAGATGATAAATACAACTTTTTTAGCTTGTAACGGCATAATTACAAGCGGTAACTTAACGTCACAGCAGGCATAACAACAGCCGGGGTTTGTGTTTCCCCAGGAAACAAACACAATACACACAAATGCGTCACAGATTATTTTGTGGTATTTGGCTGCCGAACGAAATCATGTACGCAGCTCGCGATGTAACTAGGATTCTAGTGGACGGTATCAGTACTACAAGTAACAAAAGAATATATATATTTTTTTTATTAATTACATTGTTTATAAATTAATCTGAGGGCCGCAAAAAGAGGAGTTTTTTGCCCATCCCTGGTTTAACTGGTGGCGCGGGGAACTGGAGATATTCTATAACGGTAGACAGATGTATGGGGGCGTGTACATTGAGGACCCATTGTCGAATAACCAGGAAATACACATTTCGATCGCTTCTTCTGTCGTTTACATTCATCTTTTTGTATATTTGTCTACATAGGAACACTTTGATGCAAATTCAGTACCAGTGTGTGAGGTTCTGGTTGCGATGCCGATATCCGGATGAGTACAGCGAGGACTACAAAATGACAAAGTAGGTGACTGTGTGGATGCCTGTTCAAAACGTTGCAAACTTGAATAAATCATTTCAAATATATATTTGTCTCCGACTTTCATTTGTACATCGTTCTTAATGTGATGTTTAGTAGCTTAGCTGTCCATACCTTCAGACAGCCTAAAAGTAAAACACAAGTTATTTACTCACAGCCCGAATGCAGCATCAAGATCCGTGGCAAGCTGTGAACCTCTCCGATTAAGTTGTGATAGGACTTCTGTAGCTATTCTCCAGCGAGCAAGGTTTTTATTAAATACCTTTATCCCTCTCATCACAACAAGACTCTACACTGTGCAGAAAAACAACAACATACATGAAAAGAATTCCTTGATGCATAGCTTGGAATGAAACAAACAAACTAGCTTCCATGGCTAATACTGATATGTCACAGTAACGGGTAAACCACAGACAAGTAAGTCCACGGGGCTTGTCAAGCAAGGTTAGCCTCTTTAAGAGTCTTAGTATAACAATGGGAATATAGTGCCTTTAGCTCTAATCTTTGAGATAAGAAGTCAAGCAGAACATTTGAGTATGCCTGCGAGCAAGGGAAGGTCATATATTTGATTGTTCAGTGTTTAAAGTCTGCCCATACTCTTTATTTTTTGATCATATTCTTTTCCAAAGTCTCCCATAATTTATGTATTTTTGAATGATCTGAAACCAATGTATTTTCCAGGTGACTGAATGTCTGGTGCATGTACTCTACTCGATGGTACACTGATGGTCTGACTGTGAGGGAATAGTGAGACATTTGTCACTGACACAATCATTGAGTTCTCCCTCCCTGGCAGGCAGAGGTGAACGGGTACACGGACAATATGTCTCTGGAGAGCAGCAGGGGAGGAAGAAGTATTCAGATCCTTTCCTCGAGTAACAATCCAATATAACAATGTAAAATACTCAAGTAACAGTGCAGAAGTAGTATCAGCAAATGTACTTGATGTGCTACTTTGAAATAATAGATTCACAAGTCCTGCTGCTTAAATTGGTTTTTTTTGTCTGACTGAATCTTTGCTAATTTAGCTAAATATTGGATTTAAACAACAATTTAAATTAAATATACCATGTAATACACCATTCAAAAAGTATTAAGAGAAACTATATATCTGGTATAACTACCAACAGTTCATAGACATTTAAAGAGGCCCTATTATGCTTTTTGGGGGTTTTCCTGTAGTAGGTTATATAGGTTTTTTTTTAATGTAAAATGGTCTGCAAAGGCTTAAATCCCAAAGTTCCCTCCATAGGGAGTTTCTCTCCCACACACTACACCCTGCCTAAAACGCCTCCATTGGACTCCTTTGTTTACTTCCATTACATAATGACATCACTATGTAACACTCATGCTTCTATTAGTGCTCCAACACCACATTGTAGGTGATAGGCTAAGGGGCGGGACATTTCAAAGCGGTTGACCAATCACAACAGAGCCTGCCAGCTAACCAATCAGAGCAGACTGGGCTCTGGTTTCAGACAGAGGGTGAAAAGAGGTGCTGCAGCGCAGGCAGTATGAGAAAAATAAAGAGCTTTTTAAAGATTAAAGCTTGAGACATGTCACAGTAGAGAAACTAACTATAAATATGAAACCTGATAATGAGCATAATATGTACTCTTTAAGCAAATGGACATATTAGACACATACCCCAAAAAATGCACAAAAAGTAATACTTCAAAGTCAAAGTCAGCTTTATTGTCAATAATTCTACATGTTGTACATCCAGAAATATCGAAATATCGTTTCCCGCAGTCCTACAGTGTGACATATATACATCAAACAAAAAACAAAAAGGGCCTAGATAAACATGGTATACATTAAACAAAACAAAGGACCTAGATAACCGGGGTATACAGTTTAAAATGTTAATAATATAATTTAAGTGTTCAAAGTACTGTTTCAGTGCAGTAGCATGCGAGATGGGCAGAAAAGTGAGTTAGGGGGTTAGAGTCCAGGACCATTTGGAGCAGGGGAGAAAGGTCGGTGGCAGGGTGGAGAGTTCAGGGGAGAGATGTCAGAGGGCGGGAGAGAGGGAGGGAGGGGAGAGAGTTCAGCATCCTGACCGCCTGGTGGAGGAAGCTGTTGCCCAGCCTGGAGGTGCGCGAGCTGAGGCTGAGGAACCTTCTTCCTGAAGGCAGGAGGCTGAAGAGGCTGTTGGAGGGGTGGGTGGAGTCACCCACAATGCTGAGTGCTTTGCGGGTGAGGCGGGTGTTGTATATGTCCTGTAGTGAGGGGAGTGAGGCACCGATGATCCTCTGGGCAGAGTTCACTAATACTTGAGTAATTGAACTTAATTGTTTTTAAGTTTGGGCTAAGCAATGTATCACATCCATCCATGAAAACGGATTTTGTTAATACAGTTTGTTTCTTTTGTTGTTTGAGTAAGACATGGTCAATTTTTGAAAACATTCACACAAATGTTGAATTGGAAGCGGCATACTAATGCTCTCTCAGGTCAAATAGAATATCTGTAATTGTGGACTGTATATATCTTCATATTTTCCCCTCTTTCAGTTTAAAGACTACACAGCTGCAGTAAGGTATGATTTCCATTTTAAGGGTTTGACGTGTGTTTAAATGGGCTTTTTGGCTTATTGAATTTTTTTTCTTTTCGCATAGATGTATTTTCGGACTGACAAGCAGTCATTCACCGAAAGCATTTGTTCAATTAGGCTCTGTGTGAAAATGTCAGAAACCAGATTTACTGAGTGGATAAATTGCCCGATCTGTGCACTAAGGTTTGATTATGTCTAGACCTCTCAGTGCTTTTCCCATCAGGCTGCACTAATGACCCTGCAGTGCAGTGTGCTATTATGTGCGGAGGATGTCCAGTGGTTGCAACAATATAAGTGCCTACATTTAGAGTCCTTTGCTCTTACAGAAATGAATTAATTATATCCCTATTTATGCAAACAACCTTAATAGGATGGGTATAATATTTTAGAAGTAAAATCCAATTTAATGTAGCTACCCACAGAATAATAACTACTCAAAGCTGGCCTATAGAATGTGTCATGAGGAGTTTGGATGGCCGGGCACTAGTATATGAATATTACACGGCAAAAAGCAGGAACATGCTGACTCAGTGCTGTCAAAAGCACATGCTGGCCTTGTGGTGCTGGCCTTGTGGTGGTGGGTGCCTATGGAGGTCATAACTGTGGCTGCAACCGGCAATCAGCCATGAAACGGTCAAAGACAATGTTCAAGCGGATGTCTTTAAATATGTTGTTTTCTTGAAGTCTCCATATTGGAAAGTCAGAAGAAATGCATTTGCTGCCAATGTTTTATTTTGATAAACCTATCAACCAGTGACAAACCGTGTCTATCACAACTGGACCTTCTGTAGACAAACACACCCCCCCTTCCCCCATTACTATTAGATCTGGCCCGCCGGTATATTGCACGCACACCTTCACTCAATCCTGAGGATTTCCTCAGCTCAAAGCCTGACCCCAAACATTGATGAACTTGCATGAGATGCCAAGTATCTGGCTTGAACTAGCATCACAGAGCAGCAAACTGAGTTTAAATGGATGTTTCCTTTTGCACTTTTTTTCTTGCGTCTACAGGGCATGTATGGTTTTTTCTTTGAGGGAAATTGTTTTTTTTATGCTGTTGTTGGCCTGTGGAAAAATGTAATCATGAGAAATTACTCCGGAAAAGCTGCAGATAGAGCCATAAGAAATGAATGCAACTGATTATTTAATGTTTAATGTTGTTTTTATAGGCAATAATTTAAGCTTTGTTAGTTCCAGGTTTAATATGTGCAATAAGT